CCCGCCTTTCAGACTTAATCAGTGTCTTTACTTTCACAGAATAATATTTTTCTTTCCTTCTCATTCCCTCTTGAGATTCCAGCATGAAAGACAATAGGCTGATCTCATTGTGTTAGGCCCCTCCTCCTCCTCCTCTTACACACTCAATTATACATGTAGGCCTACTCAGCTCAGGTATGTAAAATAATTACTCTTTTTTAATGCTCGAACGCACTGGCAACGCAGACACAGCAAACACCCACATTCTCGTTTTTTTGTTTTAGTAAGAGTTTTACGGCACTTGCAACCCAATAAAGGTCATATGAGGTTAGCGTAGAGGTACAACAACAAAGCAACAAACACAAAAAAGAAGGAGGAGATATAAGGACGACAAGTTTGATAGGAAAAAAGTAGCAAACCACACAGGGGCACCCACTAACCACCCACACCCACATTCTCCAGTTCAGGTCTCAATCGGATCCGTGATAAATGATCCATTGACAGACGAAAAAAAACACCCCCCTATATGACACGTATTAGTATTAGAAAAACCAACCCACTCAACACCCTATATAATTATAGTTTGCCCACTCAAGATCTCTCAATGCATTCACCCGTCTTTTACACGCCACCCCCTCCCCACCCCCGACAAAAAAGAAACACTCCCAGCCTCGGAAAAAAATAAATAAATAAATACCGGGGAAAAGACTCACATGGATTAAACCTTACTCGGCTAATGTTCCCCCCAACACATAAATTTTCATCACTGATTACACAACATGGTCGCTGTCAGCTACCAGGAAATGTTCTCAGAGAACCATATATTTTTTAAGCTTTTTTTTTTTTGGGTGGGGAGGGAAAAAAAAGGGTGGGGGGATATAAAAAGACGACAAACGCCAGAACATTTTCCTCAAGACATTTCTAGCCGGAAAAGAAAACAATAGGGTCACAGTTTAGAAAAACAAACAATTGAATCGTGGAAGCAGAAAAATAGCACATTTTGGCAGTGGCTTTTAAAAACTTAATTGAGGGAGAGAGAGAGAGAGA